GGCTGTGGGTTAAACCTTCGCACATGCCTCGAAGTAAAAGGTGGGTCTGGCTGTGGATTAAACCTTCGCACATGTCTCGAAGTAAGAGGTGGGTCTGGCTGTGGGTTAAACCTTCGCACATGCCTCGAAGTAAAAGGTGGGTCTGGCTGTGGATTAAACCTTCGCACATGTCTAGCCTCAACTACGAAATACGAATACAAATAAGCAAAGAGTGTTTGAGCCGATTGCTATCTGAGAATCAATTTATTTCGTCTGCTCTAATACTTACTGGCAGAAGACTTGCGTTCTCCTACAGACAATGCGCCGACGTAGCATAACAAGTAGACCAAAGCGAAGATAAAGAGGATTGTTGATTTGGCGGCCATTGGTTAACAAATTTTGTTCGTTATTTGACGTTTGGTGTATTTTCTAAAGTCCAATTGAAATAATTGAAATGGCCAAAAATTTTGGTAAGGGCGAAAGGATTCAAAAAGCTCGTTTATATAATGGAAGCTGTTGACTTTATCCCACAAATCTGTTAAACGTTCTTGCGAACTAATAAAAAAGATTCACATTACACACAAAAATTTCGCTATGGTAATTAGAATAAAATCTTTGCGACTGTCTGTTTGTTTTAGATGCACTGTTCCTAAAAAGCTTGTATACTTTTGGGACGATAGATAACGGGCTAATAGTAGGGCCGAATCAATTCAGATTACATTGATTGAACACATTCACTTGCATAAGTGCATCAATTAATCTTTGTTCTTTCCTACATTTATCAAACATTAAAAAGTCTGCGTTGCGTGCCTGTCCTTATTGCAACTCGAACAAACCATACTTTCACAATACCCTTATATCACTCACTGTCACCTGACAATTTGACCATGTTAAAACCCTGACCAAGCATCCGTCCAAGTAAACAAATGTGTAATTGCGGAATAATTGTTGATTATTGCCGCCCCAACGTTTTAATGTGATAATGGGGTGCGTGCATCGCATCCATTATATCCAACAACCTGTTGATGAGAACCCTCAACGAGATAACGTCGTGTTAAACTTATGTCAGATTTCTCAGATTCTCCCATTACGCCAAATATTTCAGTAGACTTCCATTTCTCATACAAATTTTCTAACGATTAATGGATATACAGTACTTCACAACCAACCAACAAACCAAGAAACCAAAACAGAACAAAATAAAAACTGCCGCACGCGAGAAGACATTCGTTAATTCAAAGTCTCTAAAAAAATGCCTTCCGAATATCTACGTTATGTAGTCGCCCTCGGTAACTTGTATAATGGCTTGTATTGTAGAGTATCCACAGTTGCTCAAGTCATGATTAATTGTTAAGACTTTTGTACGACGTTCTCAGGTATTTCTTTCGGTCATATGCAAAGGAAAGACAAAGTACATGTTCATATTAGCTGGTAGTATCTCCCTCCAAAAATTTGATCCTCTTGAATTAAGGTGAAGTGCCCACCGAGCGAACAGACCTGACTAGTATAAACTTCTTTTCTTTTTTTCATCAGGCAAAGCATATGTTCGCATCAGAAAATTCCGTCGCTTAGTTATTATTAAAGTTCTAACATCCCGATTAGTTCCAGCAATGAAGTTTGTCACATGTATAGAAATGGCTATTGAGAGATTAGCACATCCTCAGACGACTCTTCATTTCCTATCATCATCTCCGCGTTAGCTGACAGTTGTGGTGACTCACAAAGAATGGCAAATTGTGCTTTCTATCAAGATATCAGGTAATTATTATACAGGTAGTAGAAGCATCGCATTCTGGTATACGAAAGATCGAGTAAATTTAAATCCGCGAATTACTTCACCAACAATTTGATGTAGACATTTTCGCTCATTGGCTCTGTGTGAGCACTCTTTTTGACATGATGTTTATGAAATAACTGTTGGTGAACTGAATGTCAGCGAAATAATTGCCGGCGAAATGATCCTGTCGGCGAAACGCTGTCGTCGAAATATAGCTACAAAGTGATTGTCGTTGTTATACGTGTAATTGCCTCTTATATTATTGATAACCAAAAGCAGCAGAAAATTGCATAGATGGTCTTTACCATCATGCTTCCAAACACCTCCACGGCCGTCTCCCGCCTCCGGTGGAGCTTTGCGAGCTCGACTGGAAGCCTGCTGAACTAGCAGCATTGGGAGTTATTTTAACATATTATAAGATTTCTCACATTTTTGTAAGCGAAAATGGGAAAAAACCAATAAAGTAGAGGATTTTTTAAAGCTAAAGGAAGAAAAGAACAAACTATTACGGAAATTAGCATGATTTTGTATTATCGAAACATTTTGAAAGAGAGCAATGTTTTGTTTTTTAATATGTCAATTTATCACCGATTATGTGAGTTGCTTTAGTACGTAGCAATTTTTTCATTGCTTATTTGACAAAGATTTGTATTTTTGATTTTTACATTTAATTTGTTTGTTCACAAGAAATGAGAATTATCAATATTACATCCAAACTTTATTGAAAAAAGAATATAATGCATTACGGAGTGACGTTATTTATTCTGAGTCGGATTTTCAAGAACTAGAGGCGGCATATCATTTGAATGCCTCTGGATCTAGAACAAGTCTTTCATTGTATATGCGTTGTCTAATGTACAAATCTCCTGCCACATTAGTTTGATCTGCTTACCGAGAGGATATCAACGGTTTGAGAAAGTGATCATAACGCAGTCATGGATAGGGATTTATTGCTAAATAATAAAGCGATTGATGATTATCCCCAAAAATAGATGTACAGTCAAACCTCGGAAAACCAATGTGGCTGTCCCCACCTTTTTTTATCGGTTTTGCGAGGTATCGGTTTTCCGAGGTTTGACTGTACATACAGGTAAGTTACAACACTATTATTATAATGATTGAGGCTTTAACTGAAGACGCCCGATTAGAAATAGAGTTATTATTGTTTTGTAGGGATAAGTCAATATGCAATAACTACAAAAAAAAGATGTTCAAAACAGGTACGACCTCCCATAATTCGACTTTTCCAGTAATTCGATCGTCTTGAGTGAGACCCGATTTTTTCATACGATCGAACTTGTAAATTTTCGATTATTTGTTAATTCGACCGCTCAAATAATTTCTATTCAGCCAGTACATATAACTAATATTACAATTACGGTTGTTAATATGGTCAATAATTTCCATTTAAGGGTCAATTCATTCGACCGGCTGCATTAATTTTGTGATAAAAAATTTTCGATTATCCGACCGGCACTAATTTATAATAAGTTTCTTATGTTAAGTTTTCAAATAATAAAATTATGTATTACCATTAAGTACATCTGATTGGATGTTGTTAATTCGACTGATCGAATTATCGGCAATCGAACTGTATCCAACTACCGCAATATTGTTGTTGATGCGTTGCGATTAGAATAGAGTTGTCATTGTTTAATAGATGGATAAATCATATGCTGAACCCCGCAATAACTACATTATATGTCCTAAAATAGATGTACAGAACAAGTATCAACCACATACCTTTGACATTGAGGCTTTTCGATTCATGTAAGAAAATAAAAAGTTTATTAATACACTTTCGCAACAGCAATTCACATGGTTTCATCGATGTATCCTATTGCTGAAAATATAACAACATTTGCTGCATAGCTTAAAATAGAATTGTGGCACCAGTAACTACATGATTAATATACAGTATAAAGGGGTATCAATTACAATATTGTTATAATTGTGACTCAAATAGTATTCAGAGCAACAATAGCTGCATGATTATCCTAAAACGTGTTGTATGTCAGATCGGAATTTGGAATAATACTGAGATTAGTAACAAAATATAATATACTTCGACATTAATAATATTAACTCTTAAATATTAGTTTGCTGTAAATAATTATAATGATTATTCCTATTGTATCTGAGATCCAGTCTTAGATATTGATAATAATATAAATAACACAACCAGATGAAGGAGATGATAATATCCTGAGAAGGATAAAAATGCATTATCACTAGCAGAATAATAGCTTTTTAAATGCTTAATGTAATAGTAAATTAAAATTAAATTAAACCAAATTTTGGTGTTACAAAAAACTACATTTTTTTGGATAATCTGACCCTTTAAGCCACAAAATTTAAATTTGGAACGCTACCTTGCCACAATGTTTAAATTTGGAAATTTTTGAAAATCTGTACCACTGATGATTGTCCACCATGCTCCTGTAGAGTTACAATATTTGTTCAAAGTTTTGTCATCAACCAGTATAAGAACCTAAAAGTAAATTTAAAGTAATAAATTCGTAGTGCCCATCTATTCTACATATACAACTTATTATGTTTTATTCTTGTGGATGGGATACGTACGTACGTACCCATACGGCAATAAATAGCAACATCTGCTTCATAGAAAATGCAGCGAGCAAGAATATGAATTTTTTGTTCTGCATGTAACCAATAAAATGCTCGGAAATCATAAGGAGGACTTGCGATTGTTAATTGAATTCAGTTTTATAAATGCTTTATTTGAAAAAATTACAACATTTGTCCATAACACATCAAATTTCAGATAAAGGAAAGCTCGACAAGTTGATCGAATTAATTTGTTCTCATGCCATGCATCTGTGCAATTTATATTTTTAGCAGCACAATTTACCCGTAATTCCACGTCTATACAAATCCATATAGCTCCAACATGCTTGCTTTTATATCGATAAAATTGGGTTTATCTCAACTTTTATCTTTTTATGTGCACGCTTTTCTTTAGTTGGTTGAGGCATAGTGAAATAATAAGAAGTTATTACAGCTAACAGTCTAATATTATCTATTGACCTCAGTAAATATGGATAAAGGAATATAATAGCAATATCGCAACAATTTAAACAAAACAATGAGCAAAAAGAACACGTTGTAATCGTTTATTATTACAATAAGTATCACAATCTTTCGTCAAAATTAATTACTTAATAATTGCCGCACCGCTTATTTTTAATTAATAAAGTTAATACTGATACGTGAATGACTGATTGTCATCGAAACGTTATTAGGTACGTCAGCCAGCAAGCTGTGGGTCACGCGGTGGGTCTGGTTGTGGGTTAAACCTTCGCACATGTCTTGCCTCAACTACGAAATACGAATACAAATAAGCAAAGAGTGTTTGAGCCAATTGCTATCTGAGAATCAATTTCTTTCGTCTGCTCTAATACTCACCAGCAAAAGACTTGCGTTCTCCTGCAGACAATGCGCCGACGTAGCATAACAAGTAGACCAAAGCGAAGATAAAGAGGATTGTTGATTTGGTGGCCATTGGTTAATAAATATTGTTCGTAAGAGCGGAAACGATTCAAAAAACTCGTTTATATAACAGAAGCCGTTGGTTTCATCCCACAAATCTTTTTTGTGGAATTGTCTGCAGTGTAAAGAAGATCATATCCAAACTTGTCGGACACTACGTTCTAAGCCATTTGTTGCGAACTAATAAAAAAGGGGGTAGGCTAAAGCGGAGTAGTTTTTTTACAATTTCATTGGTTGATATACAAATTTGACCAATGTAATTGCAAGAATCAGGTCACGTTCTACTCCGCTTTAGCCATCCTCCAAAAAAGGATAACTTCGAAATAATGGTGGTGAATGATCTACAAAATGTAATGTTACACATGATCACATGTGTATTCAAAATCAGAAATATTACGATTATTCAGTTGGGGACCTGTCTCAGTTCGGAACCCAGTCACTCAGTCCAGTCTCAGTCCAGAACCCAGACACACCCAGTTGTCTCAGTCCAGAACTGAGACAGGTCCCCAACTGAGGTACAACATGTGTATTCCACCGAATATATAAACAAGCCTCATTTCACTAAAGAACCAAAAGGTGATTCCAACTAATACTATAAACCAGCTATCTTTGCTAACGAAACAAAAACAATGATCGCATCTATCAGTCAAATGGTCTACATAGTTAACGTAAATAACGAACAAATAAATGAGAAAATTATCCAAAAAGGCCGAGCTATCTCAATTTTTACCGAAAAATAACTCCGATACAGACAATTCGGACTTCGAAGATGATGGGGAATCAGTACACGAGCTCAAAAAAAACATTTGCTCCTCTTAAAGATAGCGCGATAATATCGTTATCACGACTAGTAAACGACTGAACATTGACGCTTATAGTATTACGATTGGACAACATCTACTCGGAAAGGTAATAACACAAACTAACGTTACCGAAAGCGGTTACCGGTATACTTTGACGCTTCAAGTTAAACCTTATCTAAGCAGCACACAGTGCGGTCAATTCGACATAATTTTAACTCACATCATTGGCGGACGCTTTAAAAGCGCTTAAAAAAGTATTCTTTAATATTTGCAACAGGCCAAATAAGTAACACAAAACCCTGCCTACGAAACAAGCAAAAATAAGAAAGTCACATACTTGAGACAGGAACAGAATCAGATCTATTATAAAAAAACTATTTTATTTTTTGATTGGACTCATTCACTAGGAGTGGCTGAGAACGAGTACAAGAAATTCCTTAATTAGACGCGTCGAATATTTTATTGCCCTCGACTAAGGATTATTATTAGCTGTATTCTAGCTATGTTCGAATTAGCTTTATTGACGAAATAAAATAACAATCGAATGCAAAATTCTTTTTATTACGTGTATATATGTTGTACCCTGTCTCAGTTTTCTGGACTGAGTGACTGTCAAAATCGTTATACTAAATTGCTCATTGAGTCAATAAATGTCCCCATCAGAAATCAACCATACATTACAATTTGCGTGGGTAATTGATTGACATAGTAAAACAATCGAATGCGAAATTCATATTACATCAATGTCAACTATATAATAAGTGGCAGTTAACTCTGGAACGAGTACTTTTGTATATCTTCGTTAGCCATCAACATCACTTGGATGGAAACCATTATGTGGTTTCATTAACTTGAACTAAGAAGCACCAACACAATTCGACGAGGACGTATCTTATCCGTGAACATTTAGATTTCTCTCCCTATTACGTAAAAATTGCGTTGTACAGACCGATACCCGATTCCGTTCGCTAGAGAAGAAATGAGGCCAAGGTAAATGTTGGTTTGAAAGCATAAGTCTGTATAGAATTTGCCATAGAGGCAATAAGTAGAATTCACGAAAAGGAACGTGTATACTCGTTTATATTTTGTAGAATGTGAAACTTGTCCAAACGAAGGAATTGTATCAAGAGATTAATATTTTCATATGTTTATCTCCTCGCTTTGTTGAAATACATTTTATGTTGACCAGGCATATTATTTATATTCAACAGGATGAAGACATAAATACTATTATTGTGACAGATTTAGAAGCAGCCATCGGAGGAAGAAAGTGTCACATGTTCATGGAGTAGAAAAGTGTACGTTTGGACGATTGTCAATTTAGATTTAAAACAGACTGATTTCTGAAACTGCCGTTAGGCACCAGACACGCTCAAGCAATCAATCGAATAAGGTAATTGATTTTCAAGCTCCTGACAGACGGTTATTCAAACATCGGTATTTCTTACCATAATAATATGCGAGATCGTATAATAAATATGCGTAGCTGTTGATTTCTAACATTTCACGAGATCAAACTAAAAAACGCTTTCTGAAAAAAACGTCAATTAATTGTTTATATTTAGGTTACTTTCAAGATGAAATTACAAAAGCGTAATGCAAAAGTATGAAGCAATTTATAAATGTCCACGATCAGAATTTTTCAACCATCGTATATTCAAATTGTAACAAAGAACGCAGCATCTTTACCATAATCACTTTTTTGCACTCCTATCTTAACAAGTATCCACGCAGTACCAATTGGTGGCTGCGGAGGTTGAGCATGAGAGTTGAAGAATGCATGGGGGTATAGTGTGCGGATGTTTTCGCGTACGTCATAAAGTTCGGTCATATCTGAGAAATGAAATACGCAGAATGAACTTTTATCTCTTCGACGGCTTGGTTGGAGACTATCGGTCGCAAATGCGTTCATGACTGTTTGATAGTTTTGAAAAGAGTGTTGATGTATCCAATTATGATCCGGAGAAATTACCAGCACGGGATCAAAGTCTTCGATGTCATTAAGTTGTTGAACATACTTTTCAATATCCTTTTTAGAAGCATCTGGAAGGATGGTTCTAAGTGCTTCTCTGGTTGGTGCGAAATATGCGAAAAAGGATTAGCTAGTTATTTATCATCGTGATCTGTCAAATTGTACGGAATCTTCTTGCATTATACTTACTCATTCATGTTGTCGTTCTCTGAGTCGTCAGTTTTTGGGACGTCTTTTTTTGTATTATTGTTCTCTGGTGAGCAAATTGTTATATAAAATTATTAGATTATTGACTATCTATGACAAATAATTCAATTATCAATGTTGATATAGCAATACCTCCAAATAGTAGCTGAATAAAATCAAACATTTTAGCAGTAGCTAAAGCAATAAAGATAAATGGTACAGCCTACAGAATGGAATGAGACATTTAGAAGGTTTTAAAAAAAGTGTTTGCAGAATTGCGAGACATACCATTGTGCAGACCAGACAGCGCATTGGAAGGACTGATAAGTATAAAACGAATAAAATGGTTTTTTGTAAAAGTGTAATTTTTGACATTTTACTAATAAGATTCTTAACGTTTTTAACAAGGTAGTCGCGTCTGCAGAGTTGGAGAGATAGTCGAGTACTAGACAGAGTTAGTACAGGTAATTAGGGAGTCGACTTATTTATATACAAAATAAAAAAATTTTCACGTAACAGAATGACGATTTAATCGTACGTCATGCATAATAATAATAATAATAATAATAATAATAATAATAATAATAATAATAATAGTATACAGGGATGTCAATAGCTTTGCCAAAACTATTTTCCCTTACATTGAAGCCCTGTATACCTAGTACTAAAAATCGAAATAACGACATCCCCGGAAGCAGTAGAACAGATTTTTGCAATCAGGAATTTTCTTTCGTCTGTAAATGATTATCCACTCACATTACACAAAATCAAAGGCTCAACCGCGACTCAACTGCGGCCCGAACACAGATCAGGTAGTGATACCACTGCAGATTAAAATACCAGCAAATTAGTTTGATGGAATTTAGTATCCTAAAAAGATTTTCCGCTTCGGATAACTAATGCAGAACAATTTAATGTCAGCTATCATTGCACTTGTTCTTGAATTATAGAACCGTGACGATTACTAGAACAACTATGCAGCTTATAATTTTTTACTATCAGCGATTATCGTATTGATTCTCCAAATTTATACTAATAACTAGAGGTGTGTAGTGTGGCTGCCCGATTTCATCGGTCGGCCTTTAGCGTTATTATTGTCGGAGAAATTTAATTTGGAATGTATTCGCAACAACAATCGCGAGGGACTTTATTTCAAGAAAGATGTAATAAATATGATTCCTGATCAATGAACATGTTTGTAATTTCGTATCGACAAACATCTTTTGGTTTGAAGTTGAGCAATTTTTAAATATTATGATAACTTTGGTGATTTAAAAAGTTTAGGAGTAAGGTCTAATGCCTGAAATGAAGAGCAGGACTCAAAAATCTTGCATGTGGCTTGTGTGGCTTACAGTTATTTCACAAAGTGATAGGATTATTACACCCCTTTTAACAATAGGGCGTGTTTATTTTTGGAGGTCACAACTTCGTGTATATACAAATCACAAGTTTGCAGATAAACAGTAATTTTGGGGAGGTGCTTATTTTTGGTAGTGACATCATAAACTCATCGTTTTTTGTGGTGTAGTTGCTTATTTTCGGAACTATACGGCATTATTACGTCTTCAGAGAGGATGGCTAAAGCGGAGTAGAACGTGACCTGATTCTTGCAATTACATTGGTCAAATTTGTATATCAACCAATGAAATTGTAAAAAAAACTACTCCGCTTTAGCCTACCCCCAAATTAAGACTGTTATTGTTATCTAATTATACGATCAAAAGATATTCGCTGATTGTCTCACTGTAAGACGGTTGCTAAATAGAGGAGTGGCTTAGCCGATTTTACGTTTATTAGGCTAGAAATAGAAAGAGCGTGCGTAAATACTCGTATCCTCTCGTGACTAGGCACAATGATATACGGTACATTCGAAATATATCAATTTAGGATGGGCCAACAACCCCTTGGACATATCAATATCTACAATAATCGATAAATATACACTAAAAGTTTCTATATACATGTGACTGTTTATATTTACCCACTGCAAACCTGGTGCTTATTTTCGGAACTATACGGCGACAATGGTCAACGGTAAAAGCGGCGGATAAATACTCGATTATCACAACAATAGCCAAAATAATTATACCCCCAATTGCATTAAGTGTCGAGAATCTTCCATTAATATGACAATTTCACATTGATTAATTGTACTGTACATATATCGATATTAAAGTCCAAATAAAGACTTATTGATCGCACAGAATTTGCTTTTTTTATGCGTATAACAGTGTAACCAGAAAGTATATAAAGATCCCCCAAAATCCAATACAGCCATATTTCAACACGAGTCATTACCTAGACGGAATGTTATCCATACTCAGTTGAAAGTAAAAACCACAAAGAAACTTAATAGTTAGAAAACACAGAATTCAAAATCAACTCCAAGAGCTATGCGCCAATATCTTGTTCGTCGCGGTTTTAGTCCTGTTCGCCACGGTTTTCTAAAACATTGTGCTGTTACAGTTCACGACAACGAGCATCAACAAGATCAAGTGATCAAATTATACATTAACTAGATACTAGAACGTGCTGGAATCAGTTTATAATAAACGGAACCAATTAGGAACCCAACATGTCGTAGATACGTATAATTCCCTTGGCAGATATGATTATTGAACAAAGAATAAAAAAAGGTTCGAAGCTGGTTATTCGATTGTAATGGCTGAATCAACCACCAGGAAGTACTAAAAAATTTTGTACCACAATGTAAATTTGTTGTTAGTATCACCGAGGGTGCAGCTTGGGATAAAATTAGAAACGAAGGTTGACAAATTAGAAACAAAGATTAATAATGTGCAGAAGGAATTAAGAATATTGCCACAGGGATTATTGTTTGGAAAAACATAAAACGTAAAACACGCCCATAAAACCCATACATAAAACGCATAAAACGAACATGATCACGTTGAAGGCAATGCATAGAAATCGGTGTGCCCGAACACCAACACCTGCTAAAATTGTGCGAGATCGTAGCAAAATTCTACGTACCGACAAATGCATACTTGACAGCCATTTGAAACTGGTATTCCTGGTCTGGAAGATACAGTTCTTAATATAAAGGCATAAATAAGAGAATGGGAATTTGTATCAGAAGTAACCCCTCGTAAGGCTGTTGGTGACCGTTGTAGGTCTGCTAGGGTTAATCAATCTATTCTGAATGGCTTGTTACATCTTAACCTTACTGAGAATCCGGCAAGTAACTCAGAAATATCAAACAAACACGCCAGCTGAAAGCAACCTCAAACTTGATCAATCAACAACACCAACCAACCTCAACATCAATCAACATGAACACTATGTTCATCGACAACAACAGCATGCCTCAATACCGTCTTCGATTCAGCGAGGCAAATAATTTCACCCATGCAACGGAACAAATGCTCCAGGCAATCCCTGGAATATGGCCACCCAAGTACATACCTACACAGAAGGGAACCGATACCTATTGGTCCGACATATTAAAAAGCTGTCAAAATTATAAATTTTATTATGGTAAGTTGGTTACATTTTATTGTCAAAAAAGTATTTACATATCTAATCCATGTTAATATTTGCATAGGATATGTATGAGCAAACAAATGAAATAGCAGACTCAAAACAAACACACGTAACGGATTCAATGGTGTTTTTAATGATGATTCTGGCATCAAACCTATTCATTATAAGGCAAATACATACATAAACCCCAAAGGGTTAAAAATTATAACAGGGAATTCTTTGTTTGCTATATGAAAATCATATTTAGTTTTAGCAATGGCTGAAAATTGTCATTGAAATTAATAAAATTTTTGCTATAAATGAGACGTATTCTCTCCTAAATTTCTGCATTACTCCGACGTGCAGTAACACCAGCGCAGGATTGTCATAGCAGTAATACGGCAGTGATGTAGCAGCAGCACTGTAGCAGCACTGTAGCAGCGCTGCTGAGAATATTCGATAGATGATTAGAAATAGCTGCTAAAAATAGATCAATTAGTCCGCTCGAAAGATATATAAGCAGCATAGATTTCAGTTAAATAGATAGTCAGTCAATAAGTGCATATTTAGGACTCTCGATACCTTGATTGTAAATAAATGAGTAGTTCTTTATAATCTGAAATACATTTATTCCCTGGTAACTTATCGGTATAGCTGAAAAATCGCTCCTATATCGATAAAGAATAATCGCCTCTTGTCCCGCGATTATTCGAGTGGCAAATTACGATAATTAATTTTTATGTAGATGCGCATTATTATTATTGTACCCCAACGGTAGACTAATAATTAATCCCATCTTAGGAGCCGACAGAGTTACTCGAGTACAATTAATATATCCAGGATTAGCGTCACTCTACGACGGGAAAGTTTTCGTAAGTGCAAAGCCTTGATTGGACAAGGTCACAACTGTAACCCGAGATTTACCTAGAGAAGGAGACGCCACGCTCTGCCGAAACTAGCTAAATTCCTAGTGTCGATTATTACCTGCTCCCCCGTGATAGTCGGCACGGCAGTTGTCTTTTTAGCAATTCTATATGTATAATCTTTCTTGACTAATTGGTGTTATGCATACACTTTTGTTCCGTGTATTAAACTATTTACAATAAAAAATTTATTTTCTGAATCAAATGAGAAGAACAAAATAAACAGTTAAAATGGAATAGAAATTACGAAAAGGAAATTGCTGACTTAATAAAAAAGCAATTGTCTCAACTAACTTTTTGGCAGCAAATTGCTCAAATTGAAGTTAAAGAGACTAAAAAATGATCTTGATTCAAGTAAGGAAGTAATTTAAAGATTGGCAAATTTCATAAGTAATTTTTTCTTTATCTAGATATTCCGCGAGAATTTTGGTATCATTAATTTTAAAAACATAAGGGGCAATTTTTTCTCATTGAGCTTTCTTTAAAATACTTCGAATAGTATTGTAATTCTTGGTTTCATGGTAGAATTAATATAAATCAGTTTTATATTAATATATATATATATATATTTTATGGGATAGGCCTATATTAAATGCACTATGATTTATAATGTCAAGTAAAAATTTATTTCAATTAGTTGAGTGTCAGTCACTTTTTTGTTATAACAATTAATGCAATTCAGAAAATCAGTCCACAAAGTTTGTGCACAAGTCACAACCAAAATGTCATTAGTCAGATTAGTTAGATTTCAGCCGCATTCACATTGCCATTTCTAGATCAAAGAGTCAAATGTTCACTTTGTCTGGTTTTGTTGCATATCAGTTCATTAACAGTAAATGTATTACTTTCGGGAGTGATATTATTGGTGGGACATTCATTGAAAGACGAAAATAATTTTATGATATGAAATGTATTTATTAAGTAAAGTTTATTTCTTATCAGCTTGTATGTGAAAATTTCTCGTTACAAGAAGATAGAATTTGGCTATCTAATTTATATCTTTTCCGAAACCTTCTATTATAACATTAATAAATGTCTTCGGCCAGTAGCCAAGTGCTTCCTTCTGTAACAATTTAAGTCTCCTAATTACCGTCGTAAGTAAAAGTACAAACAGCGTGGTAAGCAAATAAAGTGTCTGATCGTAACTCATGAGCTTCAGCAACCTCAAACATAAATGTAAGTCTAACTGCATACGAGTTTTAAATTGTTATTCCAGCTCCGTCTGAAGTAACAAATAAAGAGTTTTAACACACTCGCAATGTTTAAAGTTGATGTATTGAAACTGCCAAGTTTTAAAAAACCGACGCGTAACTTGTGACTGAGTAACGTTTTGTATCACATGATATTCAACTGTGTGGCGCCGATGGTGATTTGTGTGGCATAATAATAATACTCCGCTTTACAAAATTGTTAGTGTAATCGCGTTATGGAAAACAGGCTCAAACATAGAATAAAGACAAATTGAAGCTCATGGAATACAAGGATATCTCGACAACAAACAACCTGGTTTGAAGATTTAACCTTTATTTGGTTTGTTCACTGCACATAGTAAATCACTACGAGCTTGTCCATCTCCTTAGGAAGCAATCCTAAACATACAGCACGTTATTACTACCTTCATTCTGAATGGTGGGGCAATAGAAGAGATGCGGGATTGAATTTTCTTGATGATGAATATAGTAATAACGTGTATAGCATCAGACATTATTGCCAAGCTATTATGAATTTCATATCCATTATTAGTGACCTATATGATTCAACATTTCCCTTTTGCGTCTAATATGGGAACCCAATGCGGCAGTTGAGATTATGAGAGATTGATACTTTGAAGCAAGCCTAATTAATTAATGGAAAGATCAAGAATTTAAGGACAAGCTCCGCGAAGAAAAAAAAAAAGCCAACACAATAGATACGTGTACAATTAGCAAACAAGTATCACTATATTAGTTGGTGCAATAAAGTGATCTATTTTGTCTATTGGAGTAGCCATAACAAGTAAGAGGAACTAGAATACGAGTAAATTAGGTAATATATTATGGTTAACATTGATAATTAAAAACGTCCAGGTTTACCAGTAATTGAGCGGTTTAATAAGCTTATTAATGATAAAGTCGATGAAGATGTATCATGTGTCTCCTTGTGATCGCCTTTTGTGATAATAAGCCATCTTCCTCAGGACCACGCCAAATTCTAAGCTTTGTGCAACTGCTGTTACAAATGTTCTTGAGGGTATATTTATAACAAGAAATAAGACGCGCTGTTTTGTTGTACCGTCAAAAATTCAATAACAACTATGCATGCATATTACAAAGTTCGACTGTCATTTAGCAAAGATTTCATCAATGCGCCAACTAACCACGCACGCAATCGTGGTGGCAATAAAATCTTTGAGTAGGAATCAAGTATGAATTATACAACAGTTACATCCAGATGCCATCAACAATTCCGAAACTCGTACCATTCCTAAACAATTAGATTCATCCGCGTGTTTAAAAAAACACTTGACTTTGCTAATACTAACACAGACGAGACACTAGCTATTTCGAGGGTCGGATGCTTCGTACACTTGAATATCGTAATGTTTACTAGAATCCACTTGAAAATATTAAGAATTAAACAATCTGCTATATAACGAGTAGAATGTCCGATTCAAGATTTTTGAGTAATGGATTCGTTTGTAAAAATTGTAACCGAGGTATATAATTCATTACATACCGACGACTTTAATCAAAAAGCTTTGTTAGGAACGGAGACCCTGATTTAATGCGTCATTTGGTTATGAAATCATGTAATGACAAATTATAGTGTGACTTAAGGGGGAATGCGCTTTCCCATCCGCAAAAAGTGCCACCCGATCCCATCATAAGCTATGACGTGAGTTATGTGTTGGCGTCTGTTGATCCCGTCACTGGTTCCGTTTAAAAATACTAGTCCCATCAGAAACTCTTTCGTATTACTGATATGGTGAGACAATGTGGTGGACGAAAAAGCGATCGGATTCAATTTATTAATAATTTACGCCAGGAGTTGCCAAGAGAGTGTTGGCATGTTTCCTTCATCTTGCATTCTGTTGTGTTTTGGAACAAGGATAAAACATTCCAAGTCTTCTTTGTTTATTATAGGCATATTAGCACACCACTAATCGGATATAACTAAATTAGGCTTCTAGTCTTAACGAGCAGGTTGTGGAGCCCAAGTTCAATGAATAATTGGCAGATTTGATCCGCCTAGTTTCCTTGTCATTATTATATTACGGGGTGCGGATAAATTTATTTGTGCACGTCCAGTACTCTTTTTCAGTACTCTTTTTCACCCTTGTTGGTTTCAAGATGGTTTCTTTTCGAAAGTTCCCCGTGTAGCAATATATTTTTTTTGGCCGGTAACAAGACTACCAAACGAAAAGTTACACCCACTATGTTCTCATATGGAAAGTCGACGATGCTAGTGATATGTACTGTTATAGTAAGATTAGCAAAGTACTAAAATGCCAATGCTGACACTGTCCTCCCATCGAAATTTGATAAACTATTACACTACATGGTCTGTGTAATATAATAAATACTAAAATGGATACGTATTAATAGCTGCATATAAATATAAAGACAGATCAATAACAAATTCGGTAATATTAACGTTTTGTAAACATGAAGATTGTACCTTGTGTAAATGAAGGTGGTGAATAAACCCGCCTGAAAGCCGACGTACAGCACATATCGCAGCAAACTGTTAAACGGTCAAACGGATATCGTGCTTGCTAGGCAATTATTACCGACATCCTATATGGGATCGATATTGTAGTTGGGGATAGGTGTCTTTTAGAATATCATTAATGGCGCACTACGATAATGAGTGTTTACAATTTAAGGTTTTATTTATACCAATTATTTGTTGCAATATTTGACATAAAGAAGACTGTATGTTTATGTGTAACTTGACATGAGCGAACAACCAAATGACACGCACACTCTCTCTTTCTCTCTCTCATTTACACCACTTATTCTTTATCTCTTTCATTTACACCCTCACTCACTTTTCGATGGATGCTGGTTATTTTTTTTCCCATTCCCACTTTTGTTGTCATTTGTTACACTGTTACATAATCACGATATTGTCAACACAAGGGGTGTGCCTTTTTCTTCTTTTTTTTTTCTCTTTTTCTATTCTTAAGGGTATTGGATGAGTTACCCAGCAAAAGTCCCATCTATCAGCCAAATCATATGACACGTGTGATTAACCACAAGCACAAATAAACAAAAAGATCTATTAAATCATATTCCCTGCTAGTGCTAGTAACTTGGGTGCGGTGCGGAAGTGGGGAGGAGGGAGGGAGCGGGTTTAAAGTTGATGATTAACCTTGTCCTCTGGAAGATAATATCTCAAGTTAATTCATATTATTATATGTAATAATCATCGATATGTGATATTCATCATAGCTGCATAATTGTGCTACACAGTCTGATTATCGTAATGTAAAAAAAATCAATTATTTACACTCTTTCCGTACAGTTCAATTTTACCCCTGATACTATAACAGTGCTCATAGAAAAGACTATTAATTCGTATCCCTTGTAAATTATTTCTTTCTCTCTTCCGGGTGTTCCCATATTATATATCATTTACATGCAAAGCGGAGCAATATCCGAACAATAGTTCCTAATGTTTTGGTTTTGCTTGTTACGGTTACTCGCGGTTACTGGTTACCTCGCCATCTCACTCTTACATGTTATACTATGTTATTTGTTCTCTCACGATGATTTCTTTACACATGTTATTGCTCTGATACGTTCGTTCAGCCCTCCAATTTCAAAAAAATCAACGTGACGAGTAGCCAGATTTGGTAATTACAACAGCTGGTTCATAAGTACAGATCTCCGTGTCGATCTGATGTATATCACGGGGCGTATAAAGATAAAAAGAATGCAGGCGGATTAGTAATACAGTCGAGCAAAGATATCCTATCCAATTGTTGACTTTCGAGCTGCAGCCAATAACTCTGATCCTTTCCGTATTTGACCGCGTATCACCACTTCAAGTTACATTTCGGGCACCCAAGACATTCTTTCAATTGGTTGTACTACCGTCATTATCATTAACGTCTTAGCATCACTATTATATAATAATTATTGTTTGCTTTGGTTGTTATTTATTATTATGCGATATGCAATATATTGTCTAGTATATGGAATGTTGTATTGTATTGTATTGTATTGTATTGATAGGAAACCACGAGACCTGATGGAACGTTAACGCCACAAGCGAGTTCACGAGACATTGTATCAAATAGTCAACAGAAAGCATTGCCCGAGAGCAAGAATTGAAAAGAGTCACAATAGACCTTAACCGAATAAAGAACATGCTGATAATAAACATGTAATATGTCATACGGAACATAAGCAATGTAACCAATTTGGATAACATAATAAAGAACCTATGCATGCTATAAAGTAAAATAAACGAACAACAGCGCTCAACTAAAAAGTTATATGCTTATTTTAACCAGTATGTCAGATAAGCGATTATATAATAATTAAAACAATCATACGGGCATCCGCTGTAGCTATCATATCTGATACAATACTTTATTGTATTTATAGTTATGACCATCCATAGAAGTAAAGGAATGTCCATGACACAGGGTCGTATTCGATCACTATTAATTTATTGATATTTTTATGTCTACCAATAACGCTTTACATGTTTTATGTCTACCAATAACACTTTACATGTACCGTGTCACCGAAACCCTTCTAATATTCAGTGTTTTTACCCTTTTATGCAGTCAACTAGATTAATGTCATTGTGGTAGGGCATACTATAAAAGGACTGACGAGTTGACTTTCCTCATGCCTTTTCCACTCGTCAGTTTTATGTACTTTTAACGTCAACTTTTATTGTTTGTTTTGGTTAATTTTTTTTATTCTGCCCTCTATTTTTTTCTTTTTGGTTGCTCTTTCCCACCACTACCGTTATTCATTCGTCTTTTACTCTTTCCGAAAAGTGATAATTTAGAATTTCCTATCAGCCTAGAAATCTCCTTCTCTAGGCGAAAAGAAATTCCCCTCTTGAAATAACCTAAAGCGCAAAATCGGCTTTTTAATAAAAGTTTTTTATTTTCTCACAAGCGTATCCAAGTTATGACGATATCTAATTGTTAAAAGAAAAGAGAAATACACTCGGATACGCCTTTCCCCCACCCCCACCCCCACCCCCCCAACATTCGTTTTTCAACATTAATTCATTATCTTACACGCACACGTCTTATCATATAATATTCCCGACATTACATTTGATTTGACACTTTAATCCCGTTCTCGAGCATTATTAGTTACAGATATATTTATAATAATAACAATTATTCCACAATGCAATCTTCGTTTCCAGAAAAAGTTTTGACCATAACATGTGCAGTGTTGTGTTCTGCTATTGTCGCTGTAAGTACATTAACAAGGAGTGTGGAGGGGGAGGGGGAGGGAGGTAAACACTATTGGGAGCGAGAGGAAGCGAGTGAGAACACGACTGATAATTGGTTACGACAGAATTTTACCAAGTTACGTAGATCAAATACTAATTTGCCTCGCCCCTTACGTCTAGGTCCTTTTCGGCATGAAGGCTTCCCGAGTAAACAGTCTTCGTGCACTAAACTATGCCCACTTGCTCGTGTTCTCACTCTACATGACATCATGGGTGTTTGCATCAACGGCGGCTCTCTTTCTCGCCATATTAGCCATGACCCCGACATTTACTGTAATATCGGATCTCACTTCATCAACTGTATGGTTTACCGACAGCCATGGTGCTAGCCAAGTAATTCAAACTAATGACCTAGCTGGTCAAGACGAGAGTATCGTTCTCGCAAGGCAAGAGAGATCCACGTACGATACAATGTGTAATTTGAGCATTCTCCTCTGCGTGTTCATGTATACGAGTGCAAAGTTGATGTTGTATCTGTTTCTTGCTGAACGAGTACACATTGTAAGAGACAGCAGGATTGCAAGGAAGGATAGCTTTTTATATCGAGGTAATAAAGGGAAAGTGAGAGAAAATGAGGGGAGTAAGGAAGGGAAAAGCTTTTACTGGATCGATAACTAAATCAATGAAATCCCCCCTTTTTTTACAGTGAATATGCTTCTTCTCATCCCATATGCTGGTATAACAGCCGGAATGTATATCCAACGCATAACAAGATTTTCTCCAGCGCCGGACCAGTGCGAGATTGGCATTGAGCTTCCAACATTGCTCGTCCTTCTTTCCTACGACACTGCCGTCTCCATCTACTTGACCGTTCTCTTTATCCAACCTCTCGTTCGAGTCAACTACAAGAATCAACATCGATTCCTCTACGTTGCAAAGAGGACTTTAATCGGGGCTATAATCTCTCTAACAATTTCGATTTTAAATGTCGTAGTCCTGGTCATTGCCAACGGTGTCGAACAAGGCCACGTATGTCTAGCTAGTTGTATTCTCGATGTAACATTGAATACGCTGAGCGTACATTGGGTCACGAGTAATGCGATCAGAGGTCGAAATCCAAGCGAAGAAGATGATATTGACGTTGCCGGAAGTTTAAAATTGACTGATAGGAGTTTTCATCAAAGCACAATCGTTGGAGGTGATGGAGGAGACAGGCTCGATAATGAAGAATTGCGGACTGCTGTTGACTCGAGAGTAGGCAACGGTCCCAACTCTGCGAAACGATCAACTACCAATGGAACACACGTTAATTGCGACGCGTTCGATTGTCCTGTATGTAAGCGAAGTGGAAGTTCAGGAAGAGATACATTGTCGACATTAGTTGGCAGTGATGGACAACGGATACCAGGAAACACCCGATGACAATGACATATGATGAATCGAAATATAAGAGGACAATGATACTAAACAATATTGAGTAATCGGACGGTAGTAGTCTGTGTTGTGTTGTGTTGTGTTTTTTTTTTTTTTTTTGTGTTTTTTTTTTTTCGGGGGGGAGGGGCGAATGTGGAATTAATTTTGGATTGCTTTTATTTTCAATTTCTTTTTCTTTACTCTGTATATTGCTCTCCTTGTAAAATACTTCCCTCGGCTCAACTTGAGCCTTGGTTAACGTGATGCTATACATATAATGTTTTTTTCTCTTAAACCTATCACCTACTCGATAATTTCTTAACAAATCGGAAGTTGTAAGAATTTTATCTTTATCTTTATCAAAGAGCTTTTGAAAAGCTCGTCTATTGACCATCATCTATAAGATTCTTCCTCCCTTTTTGTTTCCTTCACATCATTTTTTTACTAATAATTCAATTCTTCAATGTTTTTAATAACGCAAGGTAGTATTTGACAAACGAACAAAAGCAACAACAAAACAGAACAAAACAAAACTTTAAACCAAACAAACAAAAATCAGGAAATAAACGAAAGCTGATAGCGTAATGAAACAGTTATGATTGGTGTGCTCGTTAATTTTTTGATCACTGATACATTAAATTTCCGCTATTGGATACTTTGTGTTTTTTGTGTTTGCTTTGGTTCATAGTCGTGCATATAATATTAACATTGTGGCATTGTGCCACCTTTTATCGCCCCAATAGACGCGCTATATAATGTATATGTAGCAAGTTTATTTATCGAGTTCTTACCAAGAAAGGGATTCGCATTAAAATATAATGCTGTAGTCGATGAGCAAAAGTTTGTTTAAGGCGCTTTTCCATTTCAGATCAAACATAAAACCTCAATGTTGTACTGGGAACCACAAAGTAATCTTGGCTAACGCGAAACACTCGAATTGTGTAATTGTGTCACTTTATTGTAGTGCCAGATTTATTAGTATTATGATATGGATGTACTCGAACTCTAAAAACACGTCTGTTGAAACCATTAATTCCGATGCGATAATGATAACGAAATCCATATTGGTAATTGTTAATAATTTTGTTGGTTCCTTTTACTTTTAAGCATTACTGTTATATGCATCCCGCAGCTCTTTTCGAACACACGTCTACAAAAGTCTTTCCTATAAAAACATGCATGTATTTCTGCAAAGCAAATCAATAGCCTCCGGTCAATAGAAAGAACCCAGTCTTAACAAAATCGACAACCAAGTCCATTTTGATTCGTGACCAAAAATTATTCATATATAGTATAATTAAAAGGCCTAATTGCAGAGCCAGCTGCTGTGCTTATAGATTCCAGAACTGCTTATAAATTCCAGAACTTCTTATAACATCCGACAAATAACGGCTCATATTCTAATTCACAATAAATTCAAGGTAAACGCAAAGAGAGAAAAAACAAATTGATGACCAATTACAAAATCAGGTGAACAGCTATATGCGCGAAATATTATTTCTGTCCTTCTGACCTGAAAGAAATGAAGAGTTATCAACCTGCTAGTAAATCGATTCAACAAGTCTGTTTGCATGGAAATAGGCCGAGCGTCAAATAAATTGTTACAGTGAACATCGTTCACATATCTGCCATATCCTAAATTCGCTATCCATATCCAACGCCTTATTCACTTCACGTTTAAGATACACAAATGCATAGCTAGTCGGCAACACAGTATCCTGGGTTTTCTTGGTGTGCTGCCAATCTGTTATGCATTAAATAAAGTATCGATACGAGACGGATCTTTACCGAAATACGTAATAGTTTCTTAAAAGGTCTCGTTATGTGAAAAGAATGTTACTTAGCAAATAAGCTGGCCATTCATTCAGCAAGCTTGTTCCCCATTTCTAGCCAGGTCACTTGCCCATCACGAACGCTTGTCTACTCTTTCTTTGTCGGAATTCATCACTGTTGTATGCATTAACTTCATTCTCACAAAGACAATATTTTGCCGAGTCATAAGTATGCTACACTGTAAATATATCTTGATAATAGCAGTTTCAATTAATTCTGATAGCATACTCCATTCTTTCACATTAAGAATTACATGAGAATAGCATTTATTACTCCTCTCTCTCACTTGGTGAATCTTCGCCTTCTGAGCTTGAATCCAGCATTGCGTCAATCTCCCGATGTAAATTTGCCAACGCTGCTGCTTTCGACTCTCTACATACCAGACATCTTGTGAGCGAGATTTGTGTTGCAATATATTGCATGAAATGTTAAGCACAGACCTTGAGCGAGTCGATCGTACAGGCAAGTCCACCATTAGTCGTTCATCATCTTCATCATCGTCTTCCTCTGCAGATAAGGATGTATTAATTCTGCGTCTTAGACAGAATGAAGATATCAACAGTGTGCAACCTTACCGTCCTCAAAGCTCTCAACAAATATCTTAATTTCTTCAATATGTGCCAGTTCTTCTTCAGCTAGCGATTCAGGACTATCAGAAAAATATTGTAAAAGTGTTTTCTCAAATTTATTTAATGCATTCTTTCCGACAGATTCTTTCAATGGTCGTCTCTGAAAAACATACAAATGTTCAGTTGGTGTTGTCATAAAACCACAGCAGCATATTATAAACCATAGTTACTGTTTTCAAGTTTCCAGCAAGCAGGGTAAGTTGCTTGATTCTTGCTCGACCAACGTGCTCGTCGATGCGGAACTTTGTTAACACTTGGGAGAGTACTTTTCTCACTTCCTCTACGAAACGATGCAGGTATTAAATAAATGTAAGCTTATATTAAACACATGACAACCTGCTTACTGTTTGTTTCGGTATACACAAGTTTCAATACGCCAATTGCAACGTCCGCCTGAATTCCTAAGTCGATGACTTCATTATCACGTCCAGTTGTACTAAGAATAAATGAATAAATATGAGAGTAGTTGCGTAAGAAATAGTACTGATGACAACAATACATACACAAGTTTGTGTGGATCGGTCCATTCTATCATCTGCTGAGCAATCTGAAGGGGTGGCACCATGTCATAATGCTTGCTGAGCAGTTTATGTGTCTTGATTAGCTCCGCGAGACACGAAGGAAAGTTCTAAATACAACATTTGTTTTTCTCTGTTACATCCAAGATTATCAGTAACATGAAATCACTACCAGATATTATATGTATTACCTCACACATTATTTTTTGGTTCTTCGGAGATGAGTGACAATATACAGGCAAAAAATAGCTCAAGCACTGCCGTAGCCTGTTATTACTTGCTGTATTTGGATCAAAATACAGATATACAAGCTTACGGAGGGTCTGCGCATAAAACAGGCTATTTAAAATCTACATGTCACAGTGCCAACATTATCGCAAAACAGTACAATACTGACCTCTTTGTCTTCCCATGATCTAGTCAGAAGTAATTTTGACATCCCTTCAACCGCTACTGCTCGCATTTCTGGAAGATCATGATCTAAAGACGTTTTCCAGAGTTTACAAAACTCATCCGCCTTTGTCAATCATAATTTGATTCGTAAATCAAGGGAAAGCATATTACAACAGCAGTGACAAATATGTCGACTCTCCAATAATAGACTTACCTTTCCACTTCTCTCAACAATTCTATTATAGCCAAATACACGGATTATATCGAATAAAATCTAAGACAATATAAGCCCAAGTTTTTTTAACTTATACATAATGTGAGGGCATATCACTGGCTTACCATGAGGCACTTGATTTTCAACTCATCAGGACCATTCTGAGAGCAGTATAAAAACAGGTCGAGGTTCTCGATAGCGACAAGCTGAATAAAATAAACATGAAAAAGTTAATAGCATGCTTATGAAGAATAGTATCCATCACATTACTTGCCAGATTCTGGAGACAAGTGAGACCAAGACAGTGCATCCCCATTTCACGTAATACTGGCTCGGGACATTGGATGCTAGGTACGACAAGATTCCTCAATAAAGCAAACACCGGTGATGTGTCGTCCATTTGCTGTAGACCAAAAACAATGACGCACATATTAGTAGCAGTAATTTGTACGCGCACATGCACATGTTCTTAAAATCGTAACTAACCTGTTGGTTTATTTCAAGCATACATTTCATAATTGCTAAAGATTTCAGATCAGCCTCCATTGATTGAATTTCCTTGTCTGCGTCATCTTCATCCTCATTTATATTTTCCGCCATGTGGATGCTTGAACGCGATAATCTTGATCTTATAGATGCCACATCATCGTCTAAAGTCATTCTTGACCTATCTTCAGCAAAGTTGTCTGTCTCATTATCATATCCTTCTCTTATATCTGAAATTATCTCAATCATAACACTTTTTGTATGGGAAGCGATTGATAAATATATATATTCAAAACGGATACATTCACATATATAAAAACTGACAAACATACCGGTTGAAGTCTCGCTCGTCAATAGCCATCTTTCTCATGGTTTCCACAATATGATCGATAAAACTATCAGTAATATCACACATCAACATCTCGCCTGCGTTACAGACCAAAGACAATAAGTTACTATTGATCAACCATCGTCAAATCACAACTCTACGCTATAACTTACGCAATAAATTATTCATTTGGCGACGTCCACCCTCGTCGCCATAATCTAGCATCGTCGCAATTATCAGTAACTGTTCAAGCATAAATTCGTACTTCACGGTTGTATCTTCATCATCAAGTGACTGGCTCAGCAGATTATTATAGTTTTGTATACATAAAGCAAGACGCGTAACTTCAGGCATTTTTTCACCAAGTTGGTTTTCATCCTTTACAGTGGTAAGATATTGTTACTAATAGTTATTGGATGGAATCATAATCAAATAGTTAACTGAAAGAATCTCGTTACCTCCTTCAAATATTCACAGAACACGCGCGCAAGGAAAGCTCTTTCAACGGTCAAATTGTCCCAAAACTCATCTGCGAATATAAGAAACGGGTTGAGTGACATTCGACAATGAAATCGGACCTCTACACTACATACCATCAAATACTATTTTCTCCGCAAGATCCCGCCTATTTCTCAAAAGTTCCATGACTACATCCTTGGCAACAACACTATTGATCACGTCTAATCGTCCAACAAGCTAAGATAAAATAAAAGATCAGCGCAATTAAATAGAAAAAAAAAAAGACATATATATTCTGTCAACAGACCTCAAATATGTTGTCATTTGTTTGCGTGATCCAATTTGAGGTCAATAAGTTAGAGCACGCGTTCTTTACGTTTTTATCTCTAAAGTGGAGAAAGAGCGTATTAACGAATGCCAATTGCTTATATCGCCATTATAACCTGTATTTGCACGTTTTCCAATACAATTATGCCAATGATTTACGTTTAATTGCCAAGCGCATTCCTATTTCCCCCATATTCAGATGGAAATTCACCTGTCACTCAATCCCCACCGTAATACTTGTTCTCGTTCTTCAATAGATAAGAAACGAAAATCCTCAAGTTCGTCTAGAGATTTACTGAACACATATTTCCGAATAGTTGTGTCCGTGTCATGTGCGCGTTCAAGAACTTTTGGCATTGTGTTTTCGTTATAATCTATGTGTGTCAATACTGCACGACGAACTTCCCTGGAAAAAAGTGAATGGTATGAATGCGCTACTTCCAAGCAATTTAAAAAGCAGCAAAGTCATGCGATGAGATAACAGCTGCTATACATTATAATATTAAACGAAATACATACGCGTTTGGGTCATATTGCAGCACATCGAGTAATTTGTCAGTTATTTCACGACTGTCACCATTTTCGACGTCACATCCTGCCTAAATATATGCATCGACATTCTATTAGTCTGTAATCTGATTATTATCTTGCATGTATAGAATTCATTAGCGTCAAGCTGACAGACTAATCAATTTGCATGACCAAAATTGACAGATTGCACTCACCTGAAACTTGGACAGTGCTACAACAGCCTGAACTCTAACACCAGTATCTTTGTCGTGTATACGATCTGCCAACTTCTTTCGCATCTTATTATACAATGAATCACTAATAAATAATACACAATTAGTTCGGGTCCCGTTGCATTCATTAATTACCCAAACGCAGACAGATTCATAATACAAACTTGATCGAATCAAGAGCATAAGCACAATGACCAAGCAATTGGCAAATGCGTAATCGTATTAGCCTCTCTTTTGCTTCAATGCCCTTTAGTAAATATTTGGCTAGCTCTTGCACTAAGCGGGATGATAAAGTCCCTTCATCGTCACTATTAACAGAGTCATTGTCTTTTGCATCTGTATATATAAATTGTTCCAACAAGTAAATATCAGGATAATCTATCTCAAAATCATCAGCCATTTACCATTTGGGTTTACCTTTCTCAGACGTATACTGAATGAAAGCTCCAAGAAATTTAACTGTTCTATCAACACAAGGTTCCTTCTTCTTGACACTCAAGATTTTTTGAACCATATCCAGGATTGTCTTGTTAAAGGCCTGTTCCCCAATTGATGGATTTATAGAACATCGTTCCTGTATCTTTCGCAAAGCAAGAGCGTTCTTTCTATGTAATACAGCTGACTTTTGAACATCATCAAATATATCGGCGACAGACTTTTTTAATAGCTCTAGTGGATTAGCATGCGCTCGTGAGCGAGTGCTTGAGCTTTGTTGAGTAGATTGACGCGGTTGAGCGGACGAAGTTGGGACTACTTTTCGAATTCGCTGATTCGTGTCGCGAGTACGTCGAGATGGAACAGAGGCAGAGGAGGAGGAAGAGACGTCCGAGATTCGTCTCGTAGTGAGCGAAGGACGTGACGAAGAAGAGGAAACATCGGAGACGCGGCGTGTTGCTTTCGTAGTATGCGAGGTACGTGACGAAGAGGATGCGTCGGAGCTTCGTCGTATTGGCTGTGCGCGAACTTCAGGCATTTCGTATTGAACGGTTTCGGTAGAGTGAATTGTGAATGCGCAACATATTAATACGACTAAAACGCGCAACGCGTTCCTCGATGCAGTTAATTGGTCGATTGCGATGATCTGTCAAAAGTGGCAATTGGGGTGACCATGGAAAGGGCTTTAATATTTAGATCCTAATTCTGTTTAAGAAATCTTGCAAGATGCAAAGATATTATTTGTCCAAAGCCATTGATTAATGAGATCAAAGTTCACCCACTCAGTGTCTGTGAATAGAATGAATGTATCATCCAGATAACCGCTGAGGTGGATGAGCAAAATGTCTTGGGAATTTCTTTCTTCACTTATGGAGCATGATGTTATGAAAGAGAATGAGAGATTAGAACTGTAAAAATCGAACATGTAAGATGAGATGAGAATGAAGAAGCATACTAATAATGCAAAGAACGTATGTTGCTAATCTCCCTCCAAAATTAACTAAACAAATTCCAGCATTCTGTGCATGCTGTACATGATTCTAGTTATTTTACAGATATGATAAAGCGACTAATATAACTGAGGACACTTTTTGTTTTAAAGCACAGTTATGGGATTAATTTTAGACTTACAGTAACGTGCAAAAGTATCCTACCGGTTGTATCATCTAAACGTACATAATAATAACTCCTTAAATTTTCCAG